AAAAGAACAAGACTGAATTGTTTTGAACAATTGAAGTAAAGTGAAGTAAATCGAAAACAAAATATTTTGCTCTACAAAGTGCTCTGAGCTCAGGCATGTCGTTACCCAACAAAAAATTATAATATTGGCAAAAAGCTAGCACCTCCAAGTTTCGATCTTGGGACCTCAGGGTTATGAGCCCTGCGCGCTTCCTCTGCGCCAAGGTGCTTTGTGCTGGAGTAGATTAGACAAGCTAATCAACCAACTGTTGAATATAGTATTCTTATACAAATAATAGTACTAGCAAAATTGTTTATATGATTGCTAACTTTTTTATGGTGGTGAGGTTGGTTGTTAAAAAGTTAATAAAACAAAATATAACCAGTTCTTGTCGCAAGTGTTTATAAATCAGTGGCATGTTGTGGATAAATGCATTGGCGCTCAGCTGCTGAGCGGGCGCGTGTCACATGCACTCGCGGTTTTTAAAACGAATGATGCGTCTCTTCCAGGCAAATCGCCCCATGCAGGATGGGGCTCACCGCTTTTTCTCACCTCTGCATCGGAAATGATGACTCAAGCCAATAATAGATGGCTTCGCCGCCAAGGCTGCATGCGGATGAGATTAATTTCACAACGATGAATGAAAAAAGGGTTTTTCGACGTTTGCAATTTTCTTTCTGTCTTTGTTAACTCTTCAATTGCGAAATTTACAATAAAATCCCGCCTTAAAACATACACAATCACACAATTCGTCGATGATGGCGACCGCAAACCGCTTGTCGTTCATGGATGAAGAGGCTCCGCCCACATACACGCCGTTTCCGCGGCCAGAGGAACAGTCGATAGACGCCGGCGCCGGCGCGCCGATAGTAAGGGCCCAGGCACCGCACATAGTTTTCAACCCGTCGGACCCGCGCAGCCAGCACACACGCAATTTTTATGGCGGCGACAACGCCCCGCTGGTGCCGCCCAGACGGGCCGATGTGGCGGCAGGGCCAATGCCTGTCAACCCACGGCTGCCGCAGCGGCTGAACGCCGGCTACGAGCAGATGGAGACGGCGCTGCACCTAACGCCACACATGCAGCCGTCGCCGATGCAGCTGCACCAGCCCATAACAACAGCTATCTTTTCGCATGCACCGCCCGGCCCGGCAGACGGCACGGTCAGCTACTCGACGCTGCGAGATGCACCAACAACAGCGCGCGTTTTCCAGGGCCCGGGCACAGTTGGCAGGCACTGGCAGCAGCGACACCGCCCGGACGCCCTGGTGAGCAGCTGGCCGGCTAGGCACGGCAGCACCGCCGGATACCCGGGCATGCCTCACACAGCAGTAGTCACCGTCAACTGCCCAGCATGCAGGAACACAGGGTGGCTGGGGTCCAGGACACAGTGCTCCTGCCCAATGGGCGTAGCGGCCAGAGGCCAGTTGGCGCGACCATCTCAATCATCACTCCTGGGCTTTTTGGAGGACATGCTGACGCCGCACCTCAGCAGCTACAGCAGCCACGCTGCGCAGCAGCATCAGCACCCCTTTTCACGCGGCGGCGGCGGCGGCGGCGGCAGCAGCACCACGCCCGCGTACGCGCACAGCATCCCGGGCCTTGGGGCGCTGTGCCCCCACTGCACCGGCCGGTCGTACTTCCGCAATGCTGGGGCGCAAGAGTTGCCTGCGGGCCGCGATTTGGAACGGCAGTACGGTGGACCGCCGCCGCCGTGCGAAGTATGCGGCAACCGCGGGCGGCTATGCTGAGCCTGCACCATGTAACCACGGTTCATTCCCCTTGACTCCTTCCTTTGACAAGGCGCTGTTATTTTGTACAAAACCCCCCCTTATTACACTTGTCCCATTGTGCTCGATTGCACTCGCACCCACAGCACTCTTTCCGGCGGCATTGCATCATGGCATGCGCTAAATATATAGACAATTTTGATAGAGAACAGGTCGCAATCACCCGCTCGCTTCCCTTGCTGATTACTCAGACCACGTGTTGAGAATGGGTTCAGCCGCGTTGCGAAATAGCGGTTCCGCCCGGCTATTAAATGCAGTGGGAAAATGTTAAATATTGACAGAAACGAATCGAGATTAGTTGGGAAAAGCTGTGCGGCGGGGCTCACGCGGCGGCCTGGCGCTTGGCAGTGCCGATCTGGCACGAGTTGACCTTGGTCGCGAACTGCAGCGAGCACAGCGACTCCTGCGCGCTGGCGGGGCTGGGGTTGACGCACACAAACATGAGCGTCTTGGAGTTGCCGCCCAGAGACTCCTGCAGCAGGTGCGTGAGCTTCGAGTTGCGGTACGGCACGTGGCGGCTGCCCTTGGCCAGCGCCGCGATCACGTCGCCGAGGCTGGACAGCGACTTGTTGATGGCCTGCGTCTCCTTGAGGCGGTCACCCTTGGACCCCGAGCTGGACAGCCGCTCTGACCCAGCTAAGTCAATGAGGTTGAGCACACCCGACGACGACTCGCCGGTCAGCATGTTCTTGCCGCGCAGGTACAGCGTAAACACACTATGCGACCGCGAAGAGCGCTCGTTGCAGTTCGTTGCCGCGACGGTGCGGTTCTCAGCTGCCCGCGCCAGCAGCCAGTGCACGCGCTCGGCGCTGTCGACCGCGACCGTGGTTATGTTCTTGACGCGCGTATGGCCCTCGCTGTCCTGGTAGATCTCGAGCCTGGCCTGCCTGTCGCCGCCCTGCTGCGCGCTGTGGCCTGCCGGCACGAGCAGGTCCTGCAGCGTCTCGTTGTAGATCTCCAAAAACTGGCCCTCGAGCGTATACTCCCACCCGCGCTCGGCCAGCTTGCTCGTGTTGTCGTATATTTGCTGGACGGCGCGCGGGATGATGCCCAGAATCTTGCGTTCGGGCCTGGCCGACGTAATGGCGTCCGGGCCCTGCATCGTGTGCGTCTTGCCGCTGCCCGTCTGCCCGTAGGCAAAGATGCACACCGGGTACCCATCAAGCGCCGACTGGATCAGCTGCGAGACCTCGTCGAACACAAGGTCCTGCGTCGAGTCGGGCGCGAACACGCGGTCGAACTTGAAGGGGAACGCCCTGGCCGTGGTCTTGCCGAGCGCGTTCTCGCTGGACTGCGAAAGCTCGATCTCGTTCTTCTCCTCGCACTCTGGGAACGAAAGCGGCAGCGCACCGGCCATGGCCTTCTCCTCGCCCACCAGCGGCCGCACGCGGCAGAAGACGCGGATGTTGCCCTTGAGCTCCTGGACTGTGTTGTGCAGCCGGCGCCGCGTTGTCTCCTCGGTGCGCAGCTTGGCCTCAAGCTCCGAGACGTCGCAGTTGCGCGACGCCAGCGCCTCCTCGAGCTCGGCAATGTGGATCTCGCGCTCGCTGAGAATATCCTCGAGCCGCTCTGCCTTGGCCTTGAGGGTGCGGCTGCCGCTCTCGATCTCCAGCTGGTCGCTTGCCTGCTTGGAGACCGTGTTCTCGAGACGCATGCACTCCTCCTTCTTTGCCTTTAGCCGCGCCTGCGTCGACTCGAGCAAGTCTTGGAGGTCGGAAATGCTCTTTTTGAGCGCACGCTGCTCGTCCAACAGCTGCTCCTCCTGGCGCTTAAACTTGCGCTGGATGTCATCCAGCGCGTCCTCGTGCGCGCGCCTCTCGCTCTGCAGCAAGCGCTGGCGCTCGGCAGCGCTCTCCTGCAACGTCTGAAGCTGCTTTTCCGCCGTCTCTAGCTTTGTGGTCAGAATGCTCTTGTCAAACTCGAGCTGGGTGACCTGCGTGCTGTTATGCTCAAGCTCGACGCTGAGGAGCTTCTTTGATTTGCGTGCCGTCCTGTTCTTCATGATCATGTACTTTGAGAACTCCTCTAGGTCCTTGAGCCGCCCGTTGATGTCGCTCTCGGGGCGATTGTGGATGGCTGGCGGCGGCCCCAGCGCAATGTCCTCGTCGTCGTCGTCGTCGTCCTCATCAAAAACGCTATTCAGCTCGATCCTGGAGCTGCTGACAATGCCATTGTCGGTCTCTTGCATCACCCTGCCAGCGCCATTCCCTGCAGCGGCCGGCTTTGGCTTCATTGCGGCCGGTGCATCGAGGCGTCTGCGCTTGACACTATCCGAGGGCGGAACGGCACTCCTGGGCGGCATGACCCCAGCCCTGCCCACGTTCACGCGCCCTCGAGTGGTCGAAGTCCTGTTCGGAGCCAGTCTAGTTGGCGCGCCAGCCATTCCAGGCTTTCTCGGCGCGACACGAATGCCAGCACCAGCGACAGGGGGGAGCTTTGCTGCAGCGCCATTCTGCTTGGGTGTCACTGTGAATCCCTGTGACGATCTCCGCCCAGTGAGAATTGTTTCTGCGCCGCTTGGTTTTGTAAGCCTGGAGGACGGAATTTTAAGCTGGCGGGCCTGGCCCATATCGTTCAGCTCTGCCAACGACGCCGCATGAGCACTGGGCTCATCTGCGTCTCCGGGCACCCTGCGCTTGCCGTTAGGCACGCCACCTTTCGTGTTTGCGCTGCTGGCCGACGCGCTCGTAAACCCGCCTATCTTGCTAGGCGGTCTCAGCATCGACCCGGGTATGCGTAGTCCTGTCGCCTAAATACTTAAAAATCAAACTTAAGGTTTATTATTGGCAGCTGCACTGTCGAAAATTTTTTGTAAACAAAAAAGAAGGGGTAAATAAAAAACTGCTGTTACCCACTTACCATGTCTGTTCCTCTCTTTATTTTAGCAAATTTGACGGTAGATAGAGCGATTATAAATATATCGATTCAAGTGCAAACTATTGTGTATTTTTAAAATTTATAATTGAATGAACAAAAGTTGAAAACAAGAAGAATAAAGAAAAGAAAAGGGGGAAAAAAATTAATAAAAGAGCGACAACCTGTTTCAACAGGCCCTCCTCTTCCTCTTTTTTATGTTTTTTGTCAAGGCGGCACTCTGCAGAGTGCCAGGCTTGGTTGCTTTCCACAACCAACAGAAAAATATAAATGTAAACAAATACTAATCTGATCTGCAAATGTATGTGATCAAATTTGCTGCACTAATATCCAAACACAAAAATTAACTACATAATTTTAACCCGCAAAGTTGTCCTTTTTGAATCCGTACTTCTTCTGCTCGTAGAAGAGATCAGTCCGGGCGGTACCGACGTTGATAATCTTTGGGCAGCCGTCACGGTCTTTCTCAAGGTCCACGCACTCACTGCAATAGAATGCATCCGATATTCCCTTGCCGCTGCATATTATGCACCTACCCTGGAAGCTGCCGTAGTTGCACTCGTCGCAGATGTGAACAGTTTTTTGCGGCCGCACTAGCGAGTCACAAATCACGCACTTGCCGTCGCATTTCTCGCACAGCCTGCCAATCGCGATGCCCGACAACTGCCGGCAAAACATGAGGTCATGGTGGTGTCTGGCCATTTGCTAAATCTATGCGCGCGTGGAGTGAAGTGGAGTGAAAACGGTATTGCTTTCGGCGTAGATACGATATAAATACCAAAAGTATTGTTCTTTTTTAAAAAATAAAAATAGCTTACTGAAACTTGAATACAAAACGATCCGCAGCATACAATCAAACAGGGTGGGTGGGTAATCGACGCAACAAAAAATTATTCTTGAAAGTCGGCAATTGTCCAGACCTGACTATTACGTGCCAAACCTCGTGACATTAATAATAAATATACAAAAAATTTTAGTCGCACACAGCTTACTCATCGTCGCTGTAGAAGCTGCCGGAACTCGAAGCTCTCGAGACAAACTCAACATCCGCAGCCCCAGTACTGCTCTGAGGCATGTCTGATGCCCTCTTTCCGATTACAACAGAGTTTTTCTTGTACTCGCGAATCCCGCTCAGCACCTGTCTGTACTCGGCTGCCGCCTGGTCCAGCGGAATGGTGTCAACAGTGCTGTATGCCGAGCTAAAGGGGCCGGGAAACACAACTTCGCTACTACCATCGAGCTGCTCCTTGGATGGCTGAAGGGGGTTCTTTTGGCGCCGTGTTTTGCCCAGTTGCGGCAGTGGTGGCTTCAGATAGCCAGTACTCAGCCCAGGAAGAGGCATCAAAAGTAAACCGACAATAAAATAATGAGTGTTCAGCAATTTAGTCAGGTCAGGAAAAATGAATAAAGCAATGCGTGGTCGATTCTCTATCCTGTAAAAAAAGTTTTTAAAAAAAAGGCTAGGGTCAAATGCTTGCGCACACTTTGCATATGGGTTGACTGCATTTTTAGGCCTCGCATGTTGACCCGTCTATCCGCTGACGCTTTGCCGCATTCTCTGCAAGCGCCGAGTCATCAGTCTGGTCGGTCGACCTGCCTACATGCCGACCGACAGGCCGGGTGTCCCCAGCACCGCCAACTAAATCAGGCTTGCACTTCTTTTCCGCAACCACCGCCTCTACCTCCATCCCCGCCGCATCTTCATTGGACTGGCGGGCCGCCTGGGCCTGCTGAACCAGCTCTGCGCTCACATACCACAGTGGGCGAGTTGTTGGCGGGCGCTTTTCCTTGACAGCGTGCTCGTGTATCAGGCGCTCGATATGTGCCTTTGAAGCGTGCGGAATCTGTGCCTTTAGCTCTTCGACTAAGCGCAACACTCCGAGGGACGACCCGTGCACAACGCTGACCAGGGCAAAAAAATCCTTGTCGCTGACCTCATTTCCCTTGCGAGGAAGGGGGGCTGTCGGGTTGTCTACTTTGCTTGCGCTCTCTTTCTGTCGAGTGGGCTGAATGTCGCCGGGATTAGTGCTGATATGCAGTGGCAGTGTGGTTTCAATTGGAGTTACTGCCAGTGCGGCTAGCATGCCGTATTTGCCTGCATTGTCAAGATCTGCATAGTTGATTTCATCCCAAACCAGCCCAATGATGACAGGTGTAAGTAGCTGCACGCGTTGCCGCCGGCGTTGGCGTTGGCGCGGCTGTGGATCGGCGTGCAGGTCAGTTTGGTTTTGCGGCCGCTCTTCGAAAGAAACCTTGCGCCGCGAGCGAACTGTCTTGATAATCGAGAGCTCCTCGGCGCCATCGGCGCACTCTGCGGGCTCGTCGACATCCATATCGCCGGCACATACTTCCTCACTGGCATCGATTTCTTCAATGACCTCGTCCTCGGAAACAAATTCTGAGTCGCTTTCAGAATCGGAGTCGTCGTCGTCGCCATCGCTCTGGCTACTTGTATCAGCTTGCTCGTGCATGCCAAAGTGTGATCGGGGGGCATTATCCCCGACGATAAAGCCATTTTCTTCGTCAAAGTCCTCGTCATCTTCGTCGTCGTCATCGTCCTCGTCGTCTTCATCATCATCATTGTCTTCATCATCTTCGCTGTGCAGATCCTCGCCCTCGCCCTCATCGACCTCCCACTCTGCGTCGCTGTCAACATCGTAGTCCAGCTCGGAAGTGTCCTGTGCAAATGGTCGCCGTCCGCTGACATTGCGCAGCTGGCGACTCCACGTGCCCCAGTACGCCGGGCGCCGGCTGCCATGAAAATGAATCAACTTCATGGGCATCTGCCGGAGTCGCCACTGGTAAAGCTCGGCCTCGTCCAGTTCAAAGCCGTCGCTGACAGGTATGGCTGGAACAGGACGAGCAACAAACTTTCGTGGGCAAGCCGCAAACTCGTTTAGGTACGCCCGCATTTCCGAATCGCCGCGGCGGTTGCAAACAATCTGCCCGGAAGGTGCGGCACCCAACACTGCGTCAATGCGGCTGGGTTCAAACGTCGGTGACGGCTGGTACCAAAACATCGCAGTGTTAATCCTGACATGGAATGGCAAAAACACAGTCGCGTAGTAGCTCTTGCCCCCCGTCTCGTGAGATGCCACAGTCTGCCGCTTGGTCTTTTCCGCCCCCCTGTCTTTGGTGAAAAAGCTTTGCAAGCTCTGTTGGCCTCGCAACAGGTGCGAATTGTGTGGCTGCTTTTTTGGAGATGTTGGAAGCCCGGGCTTGTTTCCTGTCGCTGTCACTTCGACCACAGTGTCAGTGCTGTTGAGGGACTGCCCAGTCATCGGTACTGCTGCTGCTTCTTCTACTGTCGCTGTTGCTGCTGCCGCCGTCGACTGAGCTTTGATTTTGAGTTTCTTTAGTGTGCCGGCTAGGATCTGGGTTTGTATCTCGACATTGAGTGACCGGAACCACTGCACGCACTCAGAGTGGGCGTTTTCGCGGGCACTGCGACGCTTCAATACGATCTCGCGCACGTCCTCTGGAAATAACGATAGGTCACGCACCTCCCACCGCTGTATCGACAGGCTGTTGGGAACGTCGCCAAGATCTATTTGGCAGCATGTCTTTAGGTCATCGAGAAGAACACCGTAGTTCTTGTGATCGGCGATCGACACGATTGCAGACTCGACAGTGCCCGGTGCTAAAATGTCAGAGTTGCTAGTAGTGGCTGCGCCGAATACCACTGGACATAATTGTGCCTCTATCGACTTTACTAGCGAGGCGATGGTAACATCCCTCTCCTGCACCATCATGGCGATCAGTGTATGGTGCTCTGCGGATATGGTGCTCAGAGGAAGGCTGTCTCTGTTTTCCTGCTTCAGCTGCGCTATCAATTGATGGAATTTGAATACTGCGGCGACAACCGAGGGGTGTCTTTCAAGCCCTAGTTTCTTTTCGGAAAATGCGATCTTGCCATTTTTAAAAGATACCGCAGAACTGTCCTGGCGGGCAGGCTTTGCTGGTGTGTCCGTCGCTTCAGCCGTCTCTGGCAGTGGTAATGACTGCTGCTGCTGATGTTGCTTCTTTTTTCTCCTCTTTGGTGCTGTGGTATCTATAACCATACAGTCCGAGTCGACTTGGTCGCTGCTAGCAAACAATGGCGCTTCCTCGGCGTCTATTTTGAACGGTTCAATGCACATTCAGGTTTTTAAGATTACTTTGTCGAATTAGTGCCATTAAATTTAACACAAGTACTGGAAATTCCTGTGTGCTGGGATTTGCTTCAAGCAAAAAAATGCAAACCTTGTTTTGGGCCAAGGCGACCGAAAAAGTGCATGAGCGACGCCGTCTTTTTCTTCTTTGGAGTATTGTGATTTTCGGTGGAGGTCATGTTTCCAAATTATCAAAATGTAAAGAAATAAAAAACAATCGCTTGAATTTGAAATAAATGCAAAATAAAATAAAACGAACGCAATGTAAAAGTGCGCAGGACGCGACGAGCGGTTTCATTTTTCTTGCACCCGAAAATCGCGAAATCAAGAAATAGACGACATACACGCGTTGGCATTGGCATTGATTTTTTGATTTTGATATATTCAACGTGAACGGTGTACGTGATTTGTAAATGAGAGCTCAAAATATATCTCATCCATGATTGGTCCATATTCAAAATAATAACACGTGGAGCGAAATTCAATCTTGCTAAAAAATAGTCGAAATAGACAAGACCTGTGGAGTTGACATTTCCATACAGGTCAAATAAAATTTTCTGCGTATTCGTTTCCTTTATATTTCTATGTTGACATAGTCATTGGCAAAAACTTTTATCCAATCAACAACTTAGCACTAACAAGCGCAGTAACTTAACAGCAATGCTCGATACATCGAGCGATCCAACATACATGCAGTGAAATGTTTTTATATGTAGTTTTTCAAATAAAATAATAAAAATATTGAGTGCATATAAAAAGTGTATAAATATAGAGCAGCCCGGACTAACAATTCAAAATGTTAAACATTACACTCAGTGTTCTACATCCTCTTGCCTCATACACTTACAAACACACCCTTACAAACACACACATACAATTATCCCTTTTAAACATGCCTAACTTTGCTGTCACTTTTATTGCTGCCCTTGCTGCTGCTGTTGCTATTGCTCCTGGCGCCACTGCCAGCCCGATTCTGCCATTTGTTGGTGCTCCCGGATTTTTTGGAACTGGCTTTGTTGGGCCATTAACCACTGGCTTTGCCACTGGCGCTGCCATTGCCGGAACTGCTGGCTTTCCGTTTGTAAACACCGCAGCAATTGCCACCGGCGCTGCTGTTGCTGGCACCGCTGGCTTCCCGTTTATCAGACGCGATCATTCCACTGGCGATCATCTGGCCAAGCGCTGCGGCGGCGGCTGGGGAGGTTGCGGTGGAATTGGGTGTGGCGGCGGCTGGGGCTGGGGCGGCTTTCCATTTGCGGCCAACACTGTGAATGCATTCGACCGCGACTTTTACGCTGCCAATTTCAATGACAACACGCTGTTTGTCAACAACCAAAACGCCAATGTGGTCAGCGACAACGTGCACGCCCTCAATACTGCCAACGTAATTGCTTGATTTGGTCAAATTCGGAATGTCAACAGCAAATACTGCAATAACATTAGTAGCAGCAATAGTAACAAAAAATAAATATGTACATTTGCCCAAATCGGGCTTTAGCATATTTACTCGATTTTAAATATGATGATTTTTTCCATTGTTTTATACATGGA